TTTTTTAATTTTTTTATGGCATCTTTGTGAACATCCCAAGGCGCAAATTTGTCCCAATTTAAACATGTTTGGATCTATTACGGTTTCCGAGATATACCAATGCTCGTACCTCAAATTTGTAGGACCCTGTATAAACAAGGGATTTATTAAGCCATATGTTATTGGTACATGTAGAGTTTTTATCAATACTATCGCCATATATTAAAAAGTTCAGGTGGAGTAATTACGCTATGATGGGGTATTAATCGATCTACAACTAATTTTATTACTATAAGCCGTTTTATCAAACAGGTCTTTTTGCTAATAGGCCACATGGTTTAGATAAACCATGCTTACTACCTATGTAATCAAAATTACTTAAAATGTTTATGTATTTATCTAATATTATTATTATTTATTATGACTAATATAAGGCTAATATCCTTGTATAAAGCTAATATCTAACCGGCCCTCGTAAGTTACATTTTTGAGAATGACCCGCCAGGTAGAGCCACCTACTTAGACTGTTTTGCTTTCGTACAGGTATCTGTTTTTCGCTTCACGTAGTTAAGTCAGTGAGAAGTAGATAGTGCTACTAGAAAGCACAGGAGAAAATATGAATTGTGAAAAATCATTGAACTTTTGAGTTAGTTTCGTTCATTAAATTGACCAGTTTGGTATGTCATTTAATCCTTGATTTATGGACAATGATTTAATGTACATACAATATTAAATTTTAAGCAGTTCCAAAAACACAATTATGAACCTTTTTTGTATTTTTATATATAGGAATTTTTCCAAATATTTTTCATTTGGATGTTTTTGTCAGGCGGATTCTAAATTTAAATTTTATTTTATAGAGTTGTTTTTAAAGAGATGTTTTTGCTACTTCAATGATTTTATATCTCGTGTAATTAGAAACAAAAAGAGCGCTTGTGGCACAGTTTCAAAAAATTGCAGAATATTTGGGTGAAATTTATTTTATTACCAGACGCGTGTTCCAAAAATAAGCCACTTGATCCAATTTTACAGTTGTTTTTGTTGTCAAACAATTCGAAAAAAATAGGATATTTTGAGGTCTATAAACCTATATTAAACGATTATGTGCGTTTTGTGTTTTTCCAGAAATATATTTTTTCCATTTAACCAGATTTTATGATGGTCTTTTTATAAGATACTTTCGAAAAACACACAAACGTCATATTAATTTTACAAGACTGATTGAGCATTAATCAAAAAATTCAATTAAACGAATAATTCATGCAATTCAAAAATAATTTTAAAATATATCGTATGACCTAAAAGTTTAAAATCAGATTGTAAATAATACATTTCTATTTGTTCACAGCAAAAATTAAAAAAAAGCGACACTGTTTTGCCATTGTAGGATTTTAAAAGGCTATTATTTGTTAAAGCTGAACAGTAAAAACAATATGTAATATTTTGAAATGTTAAAAAAAGCATTCATGGGACACAGGGCACAGAATAAATTTTAATGACGCCAAAATTATAATGAAAGAAGCGATAGCCTCTAAAAGAAAAATAAAAGAGGCTTTTTTAATTCAATCTAATAAAAATAAATGTATTGCTCATGCATCTATAGATGTTAGTAATGTATGGCAATCGCTTCTTTGATTTTGAAGAAACTTTGAACATAAATAAACATAACATACGTAAAATTTAAAAATAATCATGCAGAAACTTTAATTAGAATTAGAAAAATTAGAATAAAGCTGTTAAGACATTTTACTCACTAGCAATCTCACAATTTATAAATGTATGAACTGTTCATATTCAATTTATAAAAATATAAACTAGAATATAACACGACATTACGCAACTTTATGTTAAAATTGTTTCTAAGTCAGTATATCGAACTATGAAAAGTACGAAAATTATGAAAAGTTGCACAATGACGTATAGTAGGTATTTGCCCAACTTCCGATAAATTGATGTTAACCATTCATGATGGTATGGTGTGCGTGCCTAGTGTCATGTCGCGCCTCGCGAAAACTATGTTGCCAAGTTTTTGAAACATTTTTCCTTAAAAAATAAGTGGTAAACTTACGTGTAAATTTAGGATGGTCTATTAATTTATTTATTGAGCATTAAGTATAATTATTTTAAATTGGTTATTTTAGAAAATTGATTTTATATTTTTAGACAATATTTTTACATTTTCAAACAATTAAGTATATAATTGTTAGATACTGTAATTTGTTAGATACTGTAATTTACTCATTTTCATTTAACTTAATTGATAATACCAGTCAGGTAATGCTATTCGGAACATTATAAAAATATAATTTAACGGTATACTACAGTTCTTCTCTAAGTAGATGGTGTACAAAAATTATTAATTGATTTTTTACTAATCGATTAGATAGATAATGAGAGAATTAAATCCAAAAATTCTAACAAAAATTCGTTCAAGTTTATTAAAAGTTTTACTGGGTCTGCTTTTGGACTATTTATTACTCCTTTTGTAGCGACGATATATGAGCCCCATATACCTTGTAGATACTAAAAATGTGTATTTTTTAATATGTTTTCAATAGATTTTAAGGAAGTTTAAATATACAAAATATAATGATATTTATTATTTATCTACCCTTGTTTGAGGCTCTCTGTATAACACCTCTCGAATATCACATTTCAATCCTTATTGTTGGGGTAAAAATTCATACATTCCACTTCCTCCGACAACACTTTCACCCTTAAAAAAGTCTTTATGAAATTGGCTTATGTTTATAAATAGTTGTCTAAATGTAACAAAATCAAAATAAATTTTGAACACTCATATTTTCGCTTATATCAAGTCCAATCATTAACCTTTATCCTCTATTATTTCCTTTGTTTACAGGACAAGACATTTTCAAAATCCCCTCAACGAATAATTGATCCTATTCGTTACAAATCAATTTGTAATAGGTCTACAAAAAGTCTATTTTACAGCAAGATCTATTTAAATATAAAACCTGCACGAAACCTAGATACAATTAGGGAGCTAACTAAATCTGTCTTTTGATTCAGAAGACTTACAAAGATTTCTTTACTATTTAAAAAAAGTTCTGATGGTTCCATATTCCATAGCAATGGAAGATTTACTGGGTGTTTTGCAAAAGTGGCTCACCACGATAACTATTTATTTTTCATACAAAAAACGAGATTTGATACGTTGGTATATAACATAAATTAGGATTGATTGATGTATTCAATTGTCTTCGGCCACTTCTTGTTTCACCGATAATGACTACAACTTCTGATTTTTAAATGGTAACCTCGGAATCTTTTTAAATTATATATATGTCAACATTTGCTCTTAGAAAAATAGTAGATATTTCGAACTTCAATCTAGAGTACAATGGATGTGTTCATAACAACAGTTTAACTCGAAATACCAAGTATGTGGTATCAAATTATGCCAATGAGCCACACTTGTTCTATTTGAAAAAATTGAGTTGTAGAATGTTTAGGAGGGGAGTTAATCACCGCGACCTTACAGATCTATTGTGCGTTTCCTTTTCCTGAGTTATAATGAGTTATACCTCATTATACAGTCTCAGGGCTTTAACAAAAGCCAGTATCTGAGACGGCTCCACAGAGGCGAGCTCTCAGTAGAGGGAGACGGGGGTTTCTACAGGAGCAGGAGCAAGGAGCCGGAAGTGACGTCATCAGCTAAGGACATGTAAAATAGGCTAAGAAACAAGAATAAACAGGTTTGATCCGCTTTGAACCAGTTTTGAACTGCTTTCAACGGCTTTTTAGCTTAAAACAACAGACCTGCTCATTTTTTGTCCAAACCCGTTTATTTCTGTTTTAAAGTTATTGTTTCTTGTTTAAACCTGTTTATTCTTGATTATTATCCTATTTTACATGTTCTTAGCTGATGACGTCACTTCCGGCTCCTTGCTAGTACTTTTGATGGAAAAACCCCTATCTCCCTCTACTGCTCTCCATCCTCGACATCAGCCATACCAAAGTGCATGGCATGCATGGTCGTCGTCTCGGCGCACTCAGTGATACAGTGTTCTGGTGTTTTCCTATTTTCCCCACAGAATCTGCATTCGCCGTTGTTTCGCAGCTTCAGCCTACTGAGGCGTTCGTTGAGGAGACAGTGTCCTGTTAGAAACCCCGTGAAGATTGTTCTTACTTAAATCAAGGAAAAGTCGTAATCTCGATCGTAAGTTTTAAGGAACTTTTTCGAGTGTCTTAGACCGTTGGAGGACACCCATTCCAAGTTACGGATGGAGTCTTCCAGATTCTTCAGTTCCGCTTTCAGTTGGTTCCCGTTTGGAAAATAGAACGGTTCTGGCCCAGCTAGTATATAGAGTGTACCTTTCCTAGCTATAGATCATTTGCTTTTTCATTGCCTTCTATCCCTTGGTGAGCAAGCACACAGAGTAGGAGGACTTTATTTTCTTTGCCTAATTTGTTGAGCTTCTCTAGGCATTCTTTGACCAACTTCGAATTGATGGTTACTGAGTTGATCGCGTTTAGTACTGCTTGACTATCGGATAGGATGGCAATGAACACTTCAGTAGATTGAAGCTAAGAAAAAACGGCGAATGCAGGTTGTGTGGAAAAAAATGGAGAAACACAAGAACACCTCATCACTGAGTGCACCGAAATGATAACCATTCGTGCCATAAAGTTTGGTGAGGCTGACATCGGAGAACTGCCCTCTGTAACCGTCTTAGATACTTGGGATTGTATGATGAGTTATAACTCAAGAAAGGGGGACACAATAGATCTGTAATGTCCCGGTGACTAACCCTTCTCCCACTCATTCTACATTCTATGGGTCATTTCTTTATAAATCATTATCTTACATATCATTGTTATGAATCTTCATATAACAGACAAATGCAGTTTGAACTTCGTCACGATATTTTTACGAAGTTTCCCGGGGAACTCCGTCACAACGGCAACGCCGCCCCCAATCCAGTTCCTCGAACCCTCGTCAGCCGGCGAAAGGACTTCCCTCGATTCCAAGGATCTGTCGCGCTTTCTTGCACTCACGGCCGCGTCATGCGCGTGGAAGTTACTCGATTTCCCATGGATTTTATAAACCGGTAAGGTCACCTTGAAAAGACAGTCATCCTACTGAATAAAGCCGCAACGGGTCCTAAGTTTCAGTCGGTTGTTGCCGGTGCAACTTGTTAATAGCGGGCAATTTTCAAATTTCAAAAATAGTACAAGCACTACTTGTGTTCAGTGAAGCTCAGTTGGTTTTAATTCGTTAATCTAAACGGTAAGAATGATTTGTATTGTCATTTTTTTAAAATTAATAATTTAACCATTCATCAGTTTAATAATAAATTACCTAACTAGTTAATATTAAATTTGTAGGTTTTAACTTCTAGTAAGTATTATCTGAATCGATATATTTTATTAGTTAATAAAAAATAAAATACATCATTAAAGAATTGCATCTTCAATTATACCATAATTAATCAATATCTATTTAAATAGTTTTAAAATAAATATAAACAAAATCACAAATTTTGTTCAGTATCTAGTGTGATCAGATACCTAAACTCTTTTGTAAATATTGTAGCGTAATCGTTTTATTATGGGGTTTATTAGCTGAGTAAAATTACAAATAATTATGTATTTGTCATCGCCAATTTTTGATTTAGTGAAATTTATGTTATTTTTTTAAAGGTTTACAATTGTTCATTTGTGACCTTTAAATAACCTCTGTGAATTTTATAGCTTCCTCTGGTTTTTGTTTACTTTGAGAACTGTTTTTAATGTAGGTATCGAGGTGGGTACCTATGTAAGAATATACTTTTTATTGTAATTTGGTCTAAAATTATTAAATTAATTTGACATATTTATATATGACTCACCTTGTGTCTTAAATAAGTACAAAATATTCGTTGTGATAGTATATTTGGAATTACGAGGTTTTTTCCCAAAAAAAATTGGAATTTTTTGAATTTTTTTTGAAAATTGTTTTTAGTTCTTAGTTAAAAAAAATTATTTCTTGATAATATGGCAACATAGGTAGTAGATTAAATTTACAAGAAAGAAAGCCCAGAAAAGATCCAGTGGTTCTCAAAATTTAAGCAAAAATTATATTTTTTTTTAAATTTTCAAAGTATAAAATACCTCGATTATTTTGGGTTTATCTGAAAAACCAGTAAAGGGAAAATATTATGTTTCTTTCATCGCAATCTACCAGCCCTGAAAATATTTGCACTTATTTAAGACTCACCCTGTATATACTGGGTACGTCTCAAAAGTGGCTCACCACTATAACTTTTTTATTTTTTCACATACAAAAACCATACAAAAACGAGATTTGGTATGTTAGTATATGACATGAATTAGGATTGATTGACGTATTCAATTGTTTTTGGTCACTTCCTGTTTCACCGGAAATGACTACAACTTTTGATTTTTAAATGATTCTCTGGGTATTTTTTAACTTTATTCGATAGAAAATGATCCTCTGAATAGAATCTCACTCTCAATATATCATATGTCAACGTTTGACATTTTTGCATACAGTTTATTTAAAATTGTGACATGCGGTACATAACGAAATTTGACTGGAAATGCCAAGTGTGTAGTACCAAATTATTCGTAAAAAAATGCTTTTTCCAAATATGCTAATGAGCCACCCTTGTACCATTTGAAAAAACTTCAGATATGATTAAAAATACGATTAGAGCATCTTTTAACCTACGGGTTTTGGACCGAACATTTCAAAAAGTTGACAAATCACATGTCATTTCTACGCAGAGTGTCATTTTCTATAGAATAAAGTAGAAATACCCAGCGTGCCATTTAAAAATCAAAATTTGTAGTAATTTTCGGCGAAACAGGAAGTGACCAAAAACAATTGAATACGTCAATCAATCCTAATTTTTGTTATTTAACACACCAAATCTCGTTTTTTAATCTAAAAAAATAAAAAAGTTATAGGTGAAGCAGTTATAGGTGTTATAGGAAGTTTTGAAGTAGGTACTCTCTGAATGCGTTAATGATTTCCAGTTTTTAATGAATAAAATTAGTAAAATGAAAAATTATGAAGAAACTTTTTGAAATATGGTCATATAACTAATCATAAGATTTTATATACATATCACCAGTTTTGACATAATCTCAGTTTGATTTATATTAGTTGCATGTAGGTAGTTTAAATATTGGCAAGTAGAAATTTTGAACATCTATAGGTAGATAAAAATACAGAAGACGCATGAGAAAATTGCAAAAAATTGAAACTACGGTAATCATCATGAGATACATTTTTAAAAACTTTTAGAAGTCCCTTATGAACTATTTTTTTCAAACAACAAAATTTCACCCTTTCGATTGGTCGCCCCCGCTTTAAGCACCGGGATCGCGCTGGCAGACATTACTATTTCATAATGGCTACACAAAAGGATACTTCACACAAAAAATTAGTCATGTAACGATGATAAGGTTTTTTATGTAGCCTCTTAGACTATAATCTGAAGTCTATCTATGAATCGTCAATTCATCTACACATAATTAACGACAAAAAATATATAGAAAAAAATAATTTCTACAAGTTCACTTCTTTAGCACTAATTATTAGTAATTATCATCATATACCGGGTGCGTCTCAAAAGTGGCTCACCCTACAATTTTTTTAGATAAAAAACGAAACTTGGTATGGTAGTATATTATGATCTAAATTAGGATTGATTGACATATTCAATTGTTTTTGGTCACTTTCTCTGACTTCCTGTGACTACATATGTAAAAAAAAATAATTTCTATAAGTTCACTTCTTTAGCACTAATTATCATCATATACCGGGTGCGTCTCAAAAGTGGCTCACCCTACAACTTTTTTATTTTTTTAGATAAAAAACGAAACTTGGTATGGTAGTATATTATGATCTAAATTAGGATTGATTGACATATTCAATTGTTTTTGGTCACTTTCTCTGACTTCCTGTGACTACATATATAAAAAAAATAATTTCTATAAGCTCACTTCTTTAGCACTAATTATCATCATATACCGGGTGCGTCTCAAAAGTGGCTCACCCTACAACTTTTTTATTTTTTCAGATAAAAAACGAAACTTGGTATGGTAGTATATTATGATCTAAATTAGGATTGATTGACATATTCAATTGTTTTTGGTCACTTTCTCTGACTTCCTGTGACTACAACTTTTGATTTTTAAAGTAACGCTTTCGGTAATTTTTTACTTTATTCGATAGAAAATGACATTCTGAATGACGTATCATATGTCAACTTTTGACATTATCCCTTAATAAAAAATCGTTTTTAAATTTCAATCTAGAGCGCCATGGCTATGTTAAAAACATTAATTTTTAATCAAGTGGCCTTCGAAAAATAGATTTGATCGTCTAATGTTTTTAGTGTCCTGTTCTGGCCGGTTAAAAAATGACCAAATCGTATTTTTAATCATATCTCAATTTTTTCAAATGGAACGAGGGTGAACTCATTAGCATATTTGGAAAAAGCATTTTTTTACGAATAATTTGATACCACACACTTGGTATTTGGAGCCAAATTTTCGTTATTAACCGCATGTTATAATTTCAAATAAACCATATGCGAAAATGTCAAAAGTTGACATACGATATCAGTTATTCTATTCAGATTGTCATTTTCTATCGAATAAAGTAGAAAAATACCAAAGATGCCATTTAAAAATGAAAAGTTGTAGTCATTTCCGGTGAAACAGGAAATGATCAAAATCATTTCAATGAATCCTAATTTCGGCCATATACTACCCTCGATACCACTATACCAAGTCTCGTTTTTCTATCTGAAAAAATAAAAAAGTTATAGGGGTGAGCCACTTTTGAGACGTACCCCGTATAACTAGCATTAATATACTCGTATCTAATAATAGCATCATTGTTTTTGATTTCTGCGAGACCTATTTGTGATTTCTAAAAATTCTAAAATGCTTGCAATATGCTATTTTTAATTTTCTTCCGAAATAGAGTTTTGGCTTAATTTTCGAACTTTTAGCTCTTTGCACTTTCATGTATCTCTCGTCTCTTTCTCTTTTTCCATCTTTGGTACTTTTTATTTTTTTCTCAATTGTGAATAGAATTCTAGTGAGGCTTTTTTCAGGTTTTGGTATATCGGCTCTAAAAGTGACATTGTGAAAAAAGTATATATCTCTTATTTACTTTGCTACATCTCATATCCGAGAGTAAATATGCTTGTGGAAGAGTACATTGTGTGAGCTTTAACTATCAACACATTCTGGGTTCTGTATTATCACACTGCATCTATCTGTATTATTACATTGCCGAATCAAAGTACTTTATATCAATATTATCAATTTTATTGGAATTCGTAAGTTAATCTGCACTATATCTGCATAATTACATACTTATGCTGATATTACCATAAGTTTATCAGTTTTATACTACTGTTAGTGACGGTGATAAGTTCTTCGCATCTTCTTTTATTTCCGCCCATCTCCTTCGTTTTTTGTTGTTGTTTGATGGCATTTAGTTCCAGTTTGTTTTGTAGTTTCGTAGTCTCATATTAGATTGAGACTTCTCTTTGGTCTTTTATCGCTTCTCGAAGACCACTATGTTATTTTTGTATGATATAATTTTATAGATCACGCTATTTACTTTTCTTCTGTTATTCCATTTTATCTTTTTGCGATCATTCTTTGTTATTTCAACCATACATGGCTTCATAGACATCATGATTGCTGATGCTTCAACGTCCAATATTCGTAACCGGTTATCATGATTCGTATTATCAACTGATTGAGATTTGTTTCAGTTGTAGTTGCATTGTAGACAAAAAGCTGATGTACTCTGCCCGAATGCTTTCCATGTTAATATTATTCTTCTGTTAATACTCCAGAAGTAGTGAAGAGAGTTGTGTTCAGCGAATATAAGATGGTTCAAGTATTATCCATCTATTTTATACCTTTATTGTACCAACTTAATTTGTTGAAGATGTTCTGCAAAGATTATTTAAGCCTATTAGATAAGCCTTGTCTATGGCTTATTTGCATGTTGGTAAACATGGAGATTCGTCGTATTTTCACTGTTGTATCTTCCTTGAATATGTTCTCTATACAGGGTGTCCCATAAAAAGGCACACTACCGAGATCTTGTAAACTAGCAGAGATACAAAGATGAATCTTAAAACGTTATGTTTGGATATATACAAAATCCAATTATTTTTGAGGATATATGGATTTTCTTGTTTTTGTTCTGACCTTAATGAAAATATATGACAATACAATTTCACATTCCTG